GGAAACATGCTGAATTATTACACCAAATACTTCAGTGTGTACTTCCTAAAAGATAAGGACACCCTCCTACATGACCACAGTGCAAGTGCCTAAATCAAGAGGTTAACGCTGATACAACGCTACTAACTGAAGGTAAATTTTTCAAGTGAGAGTCTGCGAAATATGAAAAGGGTTAGCTTTTTTTTTTTTAAAAAGTAGAAAAATAACAGAGAGAGACTAGGCATAAGGCAGAATGATTGATGCAGATTCATTTATGATCCTACTCTAAGTAGATACTATGACATTAATTATTAATTTTCAAGTAACATCTATTAATATGATACATTAGCTATATTAAGACTCGTATGTAATTCTGTGTGTATAAAGTTGTGGCTAACTAGAATGTGCACTAAAACATTTTTAAAATCAAAAGAATTAATAAAATATGAAGTAGTGCCATACTCTTCTGCCTGAATGGAATCTGCAGGCGCTACATAATTGCTAGGGATATAACCATTCTTTCCTGTAGCAATTGATCTTGCTTCCCACCAGTCTCCTTCCCTGCAACACATAAAACAACAATCACCACAAGGTAGACTACTGTCCAAGGTACAATATATTGCATTGTTGTCTTGTATCTGAAGTACACAAGAGGTATTACTCCCATTTTTTATTTACGCATTCATTTGAACAAGAATTAAACTCAAAGAATATTATAAAATAGGTTACACGAATCAAGGGAATAAGACTAAACGAAAGCACAATTGCGTATTTTTGCTCCAAACAAAAAAAACAACCCAAAGACACTACACACTTTAATTTTAGTTATAATATCTTGTTTTCACATAATTCTCTCAACCAAGACAATAAACTATATTGAATAAAGCAATCTGGGAGGTAAATTTTTCAAAGTGTTCAGTTTTGATTGAATGTTTTCTTTTTTAACAGCTTTACTGAGATATAATTTGCATACCATAAAATTCCCCCATTTAAGATGTACAATTTAGTGGTTTTTAATATATTCAGGGTTGTACAACCATTATCACAATCAGTTTTAGAACATTTTCATCACCCCAAAAGAAACTCTGTACCCATTAGCAGTCACTCCTCACTCCCACCACCCTTCCATCCCTATCACTGTCAACCACTAATCTGCTATCTTTCTCTATGGGCATGTCTATCGTGGGCATTTCATATGAATGCAATCATACAATATATGGTCTTTTGTCACTGGTTTCTTTCACTTAGCATAATTTTTTCAAGGTTCACCTATGTTGTAGCATGTATCAGTAGTTCATTCTTTTTTTGTTGCCAAATGCTTTTCTTTTTAACAGTACATAAAATTGTAATGTTCTTTTTCAGGCATTTCAGGGGGAAAAAAAAATCACAATGCCCTAGCACTCCTGCAGCCAAACAATTAACAATGAAGAATAAAATTAAAAATTGAATTTCTAGAATGATACATACTCATAAAAATGTTATCCATAAATATCCCAATAAGACTAAAATTATAATGCAGAACATGAGAACTATATGTGGTTTATAATACATAAGCCCTGACTTCTCCAAAATTAATGTGAAAAGAGCAAATATTATTAGTCTTTAATAGGGAAGATATACAGGGGATTCACTACAAAAATTCATGTTTTGCTTTACTGGACATAAGTACTGAAAATGTATTGTCTAAACTGAAATCTTATAAATGCTTGAGATGAATTTGCTCTCTAGAAAATGAAGGAAAAAATCCTTTGGTAATTCAAATATTTTGAAACTTATATTGCAGGCTTTAATTTCCAGAGTTCTTGAAGTTAAA